CTCCTCCTCGTCCTCCTCCTCCTCTTCCTCCTCCTGCTCCTCCTCCTCCTCTCCCTGCTCCTCCTCCTCCTCCTCCTCCTCCTCCTCTCCTCCTCCTCTTCCTCCTCCTCCTCCTCCGCTCCCTCCTCCCCCTCCTAGCCCCTTCGATCAGGGTCGGCGGCACCGGCCGTCAGGCCTCTCCAATACCTGCTTTCAACGACCGGCAGGAGTGCTTGAAGGGCAACGATAGGGGGGGACTGGCATACGGGGGGATGCATCGACCTGGAATCGGCGATACATCGCCGATAGATCGGCGATGGGCTTCTGATAGTGAGTCCGCACCTTCCTGGGGAGGTTGGGGCTATCGGGCCCCTATCGGCGATCAATGGGCGATTGGGGGTCGATGCACCCCTCCTATGCCTATCCCCCCCTATCGTTGCCCCCGAGGGTGGCAGTGTGCACGAGGACCGATCGGCGACTCCGAAGGGAGCGGCTCGCAAAGGGTGGGGTTTGCAAGCCGCGCCCTCGGGGGCGGACGAGGGTCGAGGTTCGACGATCGCGATCGCAGAGGGGAAAACGGCACAAACATAAAAGGCTGGAGGTCGGCGCTGGAGTTCTTGGATCGGCGCTTGGCCCCTATCGTTGCCCCGGAGTGCTGCCCGCGAACCTCGCAGTGGCCCTGCTGCGTCGCGAGGTACAGCGGCGTGGCGCCCGTGTCGCGGCTGGCGACATCCACGACGGCGCCGGCCTGCGTCGCGGAGGCCGCTGGCTCTCTGTCGTCATTCAGTGCCGTCGTCGTCGTCGACGTCCTCAGATAGGGGCAGGAGGAGGAGGAGGAGGCGGAGGAGGAGGAGGAGGAGGAGGAGGAGGAGGAGGAGAGAGGAGGGGGGAGGAGGAGGGAGGAGGAGGAGGAGGAGGGAGGAGGAGGAGGGAGGAGGAGGAGGAGGAGGAGGAGGAGGAGGAGGAGGAGGAGGAGGAGTAGGAGGAGGAGGAGGAGGGGGGGAGGAGGAGGAGGAGGAGGAGGAGGAGGGAGGAGGAGGAGGAGGAGGAGAGAGGAAGAAGGAGGAGGAGGAGGAGGAGGAGGAGGAGGAGGAGGAGGAGGAGAAGGAGGAGGAGGAGGAGGGGGAGGAGGGGGAGGAGGAGGGGCAGGGCTGGAACCAAAGAGGTGTTTTCCGTCTTCGTGCCGATTTTTCGTTTTCCCTCGTTCTGTCTTCGTTCCGCCCTGGGTGCCAAACGGGATCGAAACGAAAAAGGTCAACGACATCGCTGGGGCCCCAACGCCGATCCGAGGAACCCGCGTGGACCTCCAACAATCAGTGTGGATGCCATTGTTTGTTCCCCCGTCTGTTGTTTTTTCCACTACGCGGGCGCCCAGCAGGCTGGACCTTCCCCTGGACAAGGCTTGGCATCCTGCCTTTTGGACGCCCGAAGTGGGCCCAGGGGGGAAGAAAAGGGTACGATGCTCACCAGCACATGTTGTCCAACATCGACAACGGCCGCTGTTGGGCACGCGGCCTTTTCCCTTCAACGGGCAGCGCCCGTGGCTACACCGACAGCGAGTCCTGGCCAACTGGACTGGACTGGACTGGTTTACGTGCGACATGTGAACTGCACATGTTTGTTGAGCGATTGGTTGGTTAATGGACCAATGCGTATATTGAGAGAACGGGATGTTGCTTGATCGGTTGGTCGCCCAATTTACTTATTTATCGATGGATTGCTTGAACGACTGGCTTGTTGATTGCGGTCGAGTTGCTGATTGATGGACGGACCGGTCACTTGGCTGCTTGGCTGGGTGGTCGTCGAGTTTGGTCGGTCGGTCGGCGATCGAAGGGATAAGACGGCTGGAGAGAGTGCGCCATTCAGCCCAAGAGGGCGCTTCAACGCCGCCTGAAACATATTCTCCTGCTGCGCAAACAGTCTGGCTTGAGCCAAAACGGCTGCGGATCCACACCCGTCCCGAGGCTCTTGCAAGACACGCCCGCACCGACTCCGTGACGTTTGGATGGTACTTTTCGGTCTCGCTGAGCTACCCTTGGAGTCGAAACTGTGTACGCCTCCTACACACCGCCCAGCAAATAGGGGGCCCCGGACGAAAAGTACCCCGGCCGATCCCCGGCGGACCCCCGGGCGATCCCCAGGGGGGAGGCTATCTTTCGCCACCCCTCACGAGGATCGTGGCCTCCGAGGGGGGGGCTGCCAACGACTACCCCCCCTCCCGCCCCAAGGGGCTCCCAATAGCCCCCCAAGAGGCCTCAGGGGAGCCCAATACGCCGCCAAGGAGCCCCAAGACGCTCCCAAGAAGCCCCCAAGAAGCCCCCAAGACGGCCCCAAGAAGCCCCAAATAGCGCTCCAGGGCCAGCGGAATGAGCGAAGCGATCAAATAAGCGAACCGCCCACCTGCGGTTTTCGATGCAGTCTGGCCTGCCCGCCGCTCTGGCGTCGGGCGGCTCCCGTCTCTTGGAGTCCAAGGCCGACCAGCCATGACTGGGGGAGCTGTGGTCCTTACCCCCCTGGGGGAACCCAGCGCATCGACGATCTCTCGAGAGGGGTGCCGAAATCGATGGGTCCCCCAGGGGGGCAAGGACCACAGCTCCCCCAGTTGTGGCTGGCCTGCAGGGGAGCTCGAGGAGGGCCCCCTCCCACGTGGCCCCGAGAGGGCGCTCGGGCGGCCCCCCCCGCGGGAGGGCCTCGAGACCGGCCGCGCGGGCCCCCGCAGGCCCAGGACGGCCCCGAGGCGGCCCAGAGGAGGCCTGGGAGCCTCGCCCACCGGGAAAGCCAGGACGGCCGCGAATTGGACGCACGGCGGCCCGGAAGTTGAGGGATGAAGAAACGGCCCTACCCTGGGTTACAAGTGCGCGGTCTGTAAACCTCCTGGGAACCCCCAGAGCCTAGAGCCGCCAGGACGCGGCACACCACGCACAGCCCACAGGAGTTTCAGCGCACAGCGCCTCGTAAACCAGGGTAGGGGCGTTTTTTCTGCCCTTGAGGAAAGGCACCTGGAAGGCCCAAGACAGCCTCAGGACGGCTGGATGAGTACGGCAACGGAGAGACAACAGTTGAGCTGCAGCCGAGAATAGTGCCAAGACAATTGCCATTCAAGCAATCGGGACCCGCTTCCTGGAAGTTTCTTCAAAAAGATCCTGAACAAATTTCTGTTCGTAACGCCGGAGGGGCGAACGTGCTCGAGAAACTGGGCCAGCTTTCCGTCAACGTGATTAAGCAACGCTGGCCCAACTTTTCGGGGGGAGGTCTCTTAATCATCTGCTCGACTGCACTGCCCGATCCCGGAAACCATCATCCAGCGAGAACAACCGACTGCCTTCTGCTGGCGGGGCCGCCCCCGTTCTGCTTCCGCCGGTCTTCCGCCCAAAGACGGGATGCCAGCGTCTCGGCCCCTGGAGCGCGAGGTCATGTCTGGGTGCGATTACCTGACGGATGGCGGTGCGATTACCTGGCGGATTGCCTGCGAGGTCATGTCTGGAGCGCCGCATATCTTGTGCGATTACCTGGCGGATGGCGTCTCTTTCCCGGGCGGCACCGCGTGGGTCTGTCTGCCGACAATTGCCGACGCCGCCTCTCTGCACCCTCGGTGATATGCCGCCGCTCGCGGCTCCTGCCCCCCCTCCCACACCTACTTCTGCTGCTGCTGCTGACTCCTCCTCCTCGTCGCCTTCCTCATCCTCTTCTTCATTTTCCTCCTCCTCCTCCTCCTCCTCCTCCTCCTCCTCCTCCTCCTCCTCCTCCTCCCCCTCCCCCTCCCCGTCCCCGTCGTCCTCCTGCCACCACGCCTTCCCCCTCACTCGGCATTCACCTGCGCCTGTGCATCCTCCTCGTGCTCCTCCTCCTCCTCCTTCTTCCTTTTCTTCTTCCTCCTCCTGCTTCTCCTCCTCCTTCTTCCTTTTCTTCCTCATCCTCTTTCGCCTCCTCCTCCTCCTCCTTCTTCCTTCCTCCTCGCTCCGCTCATCCTTCCTCCTCCTCCTCCTCCTTCTCCCTCCTCCTCCTCCACCACCATCCTCCTGCTCCTCCTCCCCACACCACCACCCCTCCTCCTCCTCCTCCTCCTCCTCCTCGTCCTCCTCCTCCTCCTCCTCCTCCTTCGCCCCCGCCTCCTGCGTGCCCCTCCTTTGCGTCCTCCTGCGTGCCCCTCCTTTGCCTCCACCCGTCTCCTCCTCCTCCTGCTCGGTCTGGGTCGGTCGGCTTTCGGGCCATGGCTCGGGCCTGGGGCGCTGGGCACCCAGGCACGCCCCTCGAGGGGGCGCAGCGGATTGAAGGCAACCTGGGGCCCGAAAACCTCCTAGAGCCTAGAACGTAGAATAGGTAAGGTCAGACCACAACTGGACACCTTCTCTTCTTCCTCCTCCTCCTCCTCCTCGTCCTCCTCGTCCTCCTCCTCCTCCGCCTCCTCCTCCTCCTCCTCCTCCTCCTCCTCCTCCTCCGCGTCCGCCTCCTCCTCCGCCTCCTCCTCCTCCTCTTCCTCCTGTGGCCGTTTCTATCAATCAAATTTGGGGTTGTATTGCAAGCAGCTGGTTGGATGTATTCTGCCCTCCATGTCGGTCGGAGTGCGAGGGGCTTTATTCCTAGTCGCATGCCGCAGGGGTTTAGTGGCCGTTTTATTCATTCAAATTGGGTTTGCTTTCATATCCTTCAGGTGGTGCGTCATACTCAATTTATTTTGGGCTGTACGTTCCCTGCCATAACATTGCTCACGCTTATATGTGCTTTTGCTAAGCATGGCTCAGTTTTCCCCGGATCATGCATAGTGTCATGGTCTTACGTTTCATTCAGCTCTGTTTCAATGGTTGGGTGCTGGAGGGAAGAAGCTATACATTGGTTTTGTTGTCCCGCAAGGCTGTTTGTGGAAGAGGCGATCTTTATGACATACGTGAGAGGTCGTCCGATTATCGTTGAAGCTAATCCTCGCAGGGCCGAGTCGAGCCGAATTCATTTCAGCCAAGTTTGCTTCATTATAGGTGTGTGGTGAGGTATCCATCTGTGGCATGTACGGCGGTGTTCGTCTTCCTCAGGCTCCAGTCATGTACCCTTCACGGGTTGAAGTGCGTCTTCTTCTTCTTGTTCGCCGTCTTCGTCGGCAAGCTCAGGGGGGGCGTGTTGTTGAATAAGTATCGCACCGCGATGGGGCCCATTCCATTCCTCCCCCCACCGCCTCCTCCTCCTCCTCCTCCTCCTCCTCCTCCGCGTCCGCCTCCTCCTCCTCCTCGTCCTCCTCCTCCTCCTCCTCCTCCTCCTCCTCCTCCTCCTCCGCGTCCGCCTCCTCCTCCTCCTCCTCCTCCTCATCCTCCTCCTCCTCTACATCCTCCTCCTCCTCTCCCCCTCCTCCTCTGCCTCTCGCTCCTCCCTCCTCCTCCTCCTTCTACTCCTCCTCATCCTACCCCTCCTCCTTCTCCTCCTCCTCTTCTTCTCCTCCTCCTCCTCCTCCAATCCTCCCTTTCCTCTCGTCCTCCTCCTCCTCTCCCTCCTCCCCCCCCCGCCTCTCCTCTTCCTCATCCTCCTCCTCCTCCTCCTCCTCCTCCTCCTCCTCCTCCTCCTCCTCCTCTCCCATCCGCCTCCTCTCATCCTCCTCCTCCTCCTCCTCCGCGTTCCGCCTTTCCTCCTCTCCTCCTCCGCCTCCTCCTCCTCCTCATCCTCTATCATCTCCTCCTCCTCCTCCCCTACTCCTCTTTTTTTTTTTTTTTTTTTATTTTTCTTTTTTACTCTCCTCCTCTCCGCCTCCTCCTCACTCCTCCTCCTACTCTCCTCTCCCCTCCTCCTATCTCTCCTCTCCTCGTCCTCCTGTCATCCTCGTCCTCTCGTACTCCGTCGTTCCTCCTCGCCTCCCCGTCATCCTCGTCTCTCGTCCTCCTCGTCCTCCTCGTCCTCCTCGTCCTCCTCGTCCTCCTCGTCGTCCTCCTCCTCCTCCTCCTCCTCCTCCTCCTCCTCCTCCGCCTGAGTTGCAGGCCTACGGGGCGGTCGCCTTCCAAGGGGGGGGTGCTTCCCACAGTGAAGAAGAATGCTTGTGGCGACTAATTAGGAAAGGACTGACGGGAGGGCGTGCTGCAACATCGTTGAGGTATGTTGGGCGTCCTCTGTTCCTCTTCCTCTTGATCCTCCTCCTCCTCCTGCTCCTCCTCCTCCTCCTCCTCCGTGTTCTCCCCCTCCTCCTCCTCCTCCTCCGTCTGCGTAGTGCTTGCGGCTCTTCTCACGACAGGCTGACCATGAGCCTCCGAAGGATCACGCATTAGGGGTCCTCCTCCGTCTCCCCCCCACCGTCTAAGCTCATAGCGGCCCTGGCCGCGGCGGCGGCGGTGACCCTGCGCTGCCCAGGGCGCGTCAGAGGGCGCCCCGCCGGCGCGCCGCGGTGTCGCCCTCGAGCTGGGCCAGCCGCTCCCCCACGACCTCGCACCTGAAGGGTGACGCTTTTTTTGTGAGTGTCCTTTCCCTTGTCCTGCTGGCCCCTGGTCGTCCTAATTCTGGCTGGCTTTGGCCTCGACAACGAAACCCCACGCTCTCCTGGGCGGAGTGAGGCACCCGGGCACCGACTGGCGATGAAGTGGCGATGGGGGGTCGACGCTTCTCCCGCTGAGCTGGCCCCACCCCCGTCGTTGCTCCTGGGCACCGTCGGCGCAACGCGGCCAGCTCCTCCTCTGCGCCGTGCTGGCGCGCGTACGCCGAGACCTCCTGGGGTCGGCGGCATGGCTACCGTCCCAGACACCACTCGCGTCTTGCACAGATCAGGGTGTAGGTCTTCTGGCAACTTTCGGCCTCTGGGGGACCCTCAGCTGCCCCGGGGCCGTGAAAGAGAGCCGACTCGGGATGGCACAGTGGTCCCCGGGAAGGGGCTCAGACCTCCGTGGATGGTCGTTGTGCGGGGCCACAAGCACGCACATCCGTCGAGTGGGGGATCGACTACAGAATGGATTTGTTCCAGCGGTCTTTTTTTTCGTTGCAACGACGAGCAGCTACGTACCATGCTCGTTGGCGAACGAATCTGCGACGATATTTTGTCTCGTAGATCCGACGAACATATTTTCGGGAGCGGCCAAGAGGGGGGTGTCCAAGAGGGGGGGTGCAAATCATGACCGGCGGCATGTGCGCGGCCCAGCAGGGGGGGCCAGGGACGCAATGGAACAAGAAGAGGCGCCATGAGATCTGGGGAAATATCATGGCCCACGCCATGAGATCCACCCCCCCCTAGTCATCACCTCCCTCTTTTCCGCCCCCGATATTCTTGGGGTACTTGCAGTGCCGTATGCGATCTCCTGTGCGAGCCAAGAGCACGGGCCAGGAGCCCCCCACGGAGGCGTCCCGCGCGGAGAGCGCTCCAGGATGGAGGGGGGCCCCAGGCACGACGAGCACCAGGGCGCTCCTCCCAACCGAGAGGGGCCCAGGGGCACACACACAAACAGGCACAGATCTCAGGACTCCGCAATCTTTGTCCACGTTTTCTGGGGTTTCGTTGTTCCCCCCCCCCCACACTTCCTTTATTTTCGCATCTTTTCTCAGGGATCGGCGATTCTTTGCGTCTGTGTTTTTTTTCTCCCTCCTGGCCAACGCTCGGGCTGCTCTTAGCCCTCGTGCCAACTGCAGCCGGCAGCGGGCCCGGGGGGGGAAGTGGAAGGGGCGGGCCTTCTCAGAAGGCTTGGAAGTCCCCCGACCTCCTGAGAAGTTTCCTGAGCCTTACCCGAAGACACAAAACACTTGCCAGAAGGCGCGAGGGCTTCTGAGAAGTCCCGCCGCCCTCTGAAAAGGCCTTCTCCTTCTAACTTCCCCTCCTCGCTCGCCGCCGATATAGACATAAACGCTCGGAGGACCGCGCGGACTTTTCGGATCGGCGCTGGACCCCCAAGCTGGTGGCGCCTCCGGCGGCGCCCCTGGGGCGCCGCCCCTGGCACGCTCCGCGCGCCGGCGGAGGGGGATCCGTCGCTGGCCCGGGAGATCCGCGCGGAACTCCGCCCGTTGTGCTTATGCAGTTTGTATGTCCTTCAGCAGGAGCTAGATCAGCAGACACAGATACAAAGACACACAGACACACACAGACGCACCCACAGAGACACAACAATATACATACACAGAGACACAGAGACACAGAGACATAGAGACACAGAGACACAGAGGCACAGAGGCACAGAAACACAGAGACACAGAGACACAGAGACACAGAGACACAGAGACACAAAGACACAGAGACACAGAGACACAGAGATACCCATCCAACCGCACACACCCACACACCCAAACACCCACACACCGACCCCCCCCCCCACACCCACCCACACTTTCATCCTTACTTCCTATGATTAAGCACCCCACATCCCCACCTAGCCGGCCGATAGCAACCCCGCCGTCCCAACTGCCAAACAAACAATAGAACTTCAACTTTTTCCTCGCCAGCATGTCGTCGACTTGCGAAAACATGTAGCAGGAATGGGACGGAATGAACATCGCTTGGGTGACCCTAACCGGGTGGTCGCGTCCTACCAATCAAAAAACAATGAGAGAACCACGTTTTTCTCCTCACCGTGGACTGATTTGTCGTCGACGCTGCGATAAGTGTAGCAGGAACGGGACGCGGCGCACATCGCGCGCGGCCGCCTGGCCAGCCCTACGCGGGGCCTCCCGTCCTACCTGCCAGAAAAACACCGCAACGTCGCCGATTTTTTGCCAACATGTACTTTCTCCTCGTTGGCGCTGCGAATCGCGTAGCGGGAATGGGACGCGGCGCACATCGCGCGGGGGCGCCTGCTCGTCAACGTGGACTTTCTTGTCGTCGAAGCTGCGGCCCGTCGGGTTGAGGAGCTGGGCGGGCGGCAAGTCATAATGCCTCAAGCAAGTGCGGTTCAAACAAGTGCCTCAGGAGACTCCCAAGAGGCAGACAACCAGGAAGTCCTGGATGGGGGCAACGCAAATATTGATTTCCATTTGATGTTCGAAGGATTGTGCGGTTAGCACCTACTTGTGTTGGCAATGTTTTAACCCGGAAGATATATCCAAGAGACCCTCACATGCATGCTAAAAAGCACCCAGGACGCCCCGCGCATTCCCAAGAGGCATCTCCCTCTTCCCCCTCAGTTTCTCCCTCCCTCCCTCCCTCCCCTCCTCCTCCTCCTCCTCCTCCTCTTCCTCCTCCTCCTCCTCCTTCTCCTCCTCCCCCTCCCCTCCCCCATGAACGGCAGGAGCGAACCGATTGGCGGTGCAACGCGCGTGGCTGGTTTTGTTTTTCGTCGGCGTTGCGCAATGCGCGGCATAAGTGGGACGCAACTCGTGTCGCGCGCTGAACCTCTAGCCGCCCGCGATACAAGATGAACGGCAGGCGTCGGACGCGACGCACTTGCTTTTTATGTTGTGGGAGGGCAGGTGGGAGTGGACGGAGCAATCTGGCTCGTTCGAGCTGGCTAATTTGACCCACGCCCACACCCGCCTCCACCTACACCCGCCCCCACCCCCATCCTTAGTTCCTATGATTAACCCCCCCACATCCCCACGTAGCCGGCCGATCGCAACCCCGCCATCCGAATTTTCACAAAACAACACAAACTCATTTTTTCTCGCCAACATGTCGCCGAGTTGCGAAAAGAGAAGCAGGAAAACAACGGAATGGACATCGCTTGGGTGATCCCAAGCGGGTGGTCGCGTCCCACCCATCAAAAAACGATGCAAATCAACGTTTTTCTCGTCAACATGGACTTTCTTGTCGTCGACACTGCGACGAGTGAAGCAGGAATGGGACGCGGCGCACATCGCGCGCGAACGCCTGGCCATCCGTACGCGGGATCCCCCGTCGTACCTATCAAACAACACCGCAACGTCGACGTTTTTCTTGCCAACATGTACTTTCTCCTCGTCGGCGCTTCGAATCGCGTAGCGGGAATGGGACGCCCCGCGAATTCCCAAGAGACATTCTCCTCTTCCTCTTCAGTTTCTCCCTTCCTCCCTCTCTCCCTCCCCTCCTCCTCCTCCTCCTCCTCCTCTTCTTCCTCCTCCTCCTCCTCCTCCTCCTCCTCCTCCTCCTCCCCTCATCCATGTGCGGCAGGAGCGACAGGATTGGCGGTACAAAACGCGTGACTGGAATGAGGCGCGGCGCACTTCGCGCGATGGACATGTTGTCGCCGACGATGCAATTGTCGCCGACGATGCACATGAGAGGCCAGAGCCGGAGCGGGGAGCGGAGTACATCGCGCGCGGTCTTGTCTCGTCGACGTTGCTTGTGTCTCGTCGACGTTGATCACTACGTGGCAGGAATAAGACCCAGCTCATGTCGCGCGCTTGAAGTCTAGCCGCCCACGATATAAGATGAGCAACAGGCGTCGGACGCGACGCATTGCTTCTATGTTGTGGGAGGGCGGGTGGGAGTGGACGGAGCCCTATGGCTCGTTCGAGCTGGCTAACTTGACCTACACCCACTCCCACCCCCACCCCCACCCCCACCCAGCCCCCCAGCGCTATGTGTGTTACAAGTGCGAGTTCGTGGCCAACTGTGAGGCTGGTGGTGTATCCATTGGAGCAAGGCCCATCCTGAGCTTGACGAATCCGAAGCCAGGATGCTAAAGAAAGCACGGCTCTCAGGACAAAAAGCCAGTACCAGGAGGTGGCACTAGTGCCAGCGTGCCGTGCTATTGTTGCCCCCCCCCCCCCCCTTGCCGAGGAGGTCGAGCCCCTCGCTGAACCGCCGGGTGCGGAAGCGGTTTGCGATGATGATGATGATGATGATGATGATGATGATGATGATGATGATGATGATGATGATGATGATGATGATGTTGATGAGGAGGAGGCGGAGGAGGAGGAGAAGGGCAGGGAGGAGGTTACGCGGTCTAGGTTTCAAACTTTTCTTGTTGCTCCATCTTTTCTCCGGTGAGCGTGGGTATCAAGATGCCTAGTGGTGGCTCGACAATGCGTCTGTGCAGCGACAGGAATAGGCCGATCTGGGTCTTGAGCATCGATGTTGCTAATAACCCCTTGTGGGACAACTTGTGCAGTATTGGGATTGTTAGGTGCTGGGTTGGGCTCGTCAGGATCGGCGCCGTTGCGGGTGTTCTAGGAGGCCCGCCTTGCGACACTTGCAATGCCGCCTTGAAGACGGGTCCTGCAGAAGGAGACGGCGCCCAGGCCCTTGCGTAGTCGGGAGGACTGGTGGGGCCTCGAAGAGCTCACCCCATCTGAACGGCAACGGGTCGGGCTTGGGAATTTTCTTTTGCGCACCATTTGTGCCTTTCTTGTGGCGTGTCAGGCTTCGAAGACCCCCAGGATCATGGAGCACCCTGCGGAGCCCACGTGGGACCCCCAGGCCCCGTCCTCCTGGCACTTGCCCGAACTGAGGTACATCGCTGGTCTTCCAGGCGCTGATAAACTGACTTTCGCACAGTGCAACTATGGTTGCCCCCACCAGAAGACCACGACCTTCTGTGCGTGCAGGCACCGACGCTGGGGCGTATAATTCGGGCGTCTCCGGGCCAGGGAAAGTGCATGCACCGAGGGAGGGCGTCGATGTGCAAGGTAACTTCAGGACGGCTGCTCTTAAGACGTACCCCCCCGCCCTGTGCACACTTCTGGCGGAGGCTCTCAGGACGGATCTGTGTACTGTGACCCCTCCTGGTGGTTGCGCGCACGAGGCCCCCTCTGAGGCGGCCCGTTTCCACATCCCCCATCGAGCCGTGCTTTAACTTCCAGAGGTGCCATGATTGCGCACGCCCAGGTGTAACGGGCTCCGCAAAGGGAGGCGGAGATTCATTCCCACATGCAGGGGAAAATTGAACACGCTTCGGTCATAGATCTTCATGCTAGAACGCTAGAGGCGCTAGAACGCTAGGAGGAGGAGGAGGAGGAGGAGGGGGAGGGGGAATAGATTTCGCTGGACTTCGCTGCACTGATCCCCACAGCTGCGAAACACGCACCGTGGCGACTGGAGAGGGCATGGAAGGGGGGAAAGGGGGGCGGGCGGGAGAGGGCCCCTCCGGAGAGCCCCTCGGATCCTTCTGCCTCGCCTCCACAAAGGACGTCGCCGCAGAGAGGGCGCGCCGCGCCGCCACCGCCGCCACCTCGCAGGCGGCGAGGGCCTCCGCCGCGCCGCCGGGGTCGAGCTCCAGGCCTGAGGAGAGGGGTTACCTCCTCCTCCTCCTCCTTCTCCTCCTCCCCCTCCTCCTCCTCCTCCTGCTCTCCTCGCCCTCATCTCATCCTCCTCCTCCTCCTCCTTCCTCCTCCGCATCCTCTCCTCCTACTTCTCTTCCTACTCCTCCTCCTCCTCCTCCTCCTCCTCCGGTCCTCCTCCTTCTCCTTTCCTCCTCCTCCTCCTCCTCCTCCTTGTCCTCCTCCTCCTCCTCCTCCTCGTCCTCCCCCCCCTCGGCGGGGGCGACTTCACGCAAGTGATGGAGGAAGAAGACAACCGTCTGAAAGTCTTCAACCGTGCGATCGGTGCGGTCGGCCCAACGGGCAGATCGGGCTTGCGTTAACCCCGTACAGCGCAGACCCGGTTCAGCGGCTCAGTCACTTTTCAAACAGCTGCTCTGCAACTTTTCGCGGCGCTTCCCCCAAGCCCAGCTCAGCCACGATGGAAGGCCACCTCGAGGGCCGCGAGCGTCTCTCAAGCCTGGTTCGGCCAAGATCGGGCTTTGCAGGATCCTGCAAGATCTGGCGTTCTGGCTGAGCCCCGTCTGCGCTGAGCACCGCTACTAAAGGCCTCCCAGATGGGGTCCGAGTGGATCGCCGATGCATCGGCGACATCAGCGATGCATCGGCGACGTCGGCGTGGAGAAAGTCGGGCTCCACATCGAGCCGCATCGCCGATGCGTCGGCGGCACAAGCGCCCCGAGCAGATCGGGGACGCACTGGCCTGGGTCGACACAAGCCCGGGTCGGCCAATGCCCTGTCGCGAAGCCCGGCTGGCCACTTGGTAGCGCGCCCAGGCCCGAGTCAGCGAAGGGCGGAGAGGGGGAATCGGCCCCACGCGACTCGCAGATCCGAGTCAGCCACAGGGGGCTGGCTGACCCCAGACAGCGCTGACCCCCCTACATTTGGAGGCGACGATAGGAGCGAATAGCCCAGGGGGGAGCAATACATGTACTCAAGTGCGCCGATGATCTATGTCTTCGAAAAGGCTCCCGGGCGCATACGCGTAATGCCCGCCCCTGGGCTATTCGCCCCTATCGTCGCCGCCTGTACATGGGACTGGAGCAGAGCGCCCAGGGGGGCCGCCGTGAGGCCGCAAGAGGGGGGGGGGGTGCAGAGAAGCAGCCCGCGTAGCTGGTCTTCCTGGCGCCTCCTGGCGCTCGTCTGTCCAGGCGTGGGCCCGGCGGCGGGGCGGAAACCAGCTGCGCGCCTCATGTCTGCCTGTCTCCTCTTTGGGCGGCAGCGAACTCCGAGCTCGGGCCGACTGCCGGCCGCGTGAGGTCCGGGCTCCCCCTTGATCCACGTCTGCGATTGCCTGACAATGGTGCCCTTCAGGGCCCAGCCCGTCCCGTCCGCAGGGACTGTGCGCACCTCCCCCTTCTGGCGGGAAGACGGGCGGACGGGCCGCCTCTCCCCGGCGTCGCACGTGCTGCGCCAGGGGAGGCTCGCGGATGCCCCACGCCGACGCAGCTCTGTGCTTTTCTTCGGGCGACTGCGAGCAGGCGCTCTGCGAGCAGTGGAGCGCACTCGGTGAACGGGGGAGGGCTCGGGAGGCAGGGCGAGGTCCACTGCCCCTCGGGAGGGGGCTACACCCGCTCCCGCGAGCAGGAAGCGCGTGCCTGACACAAGTCACAAGACTCGCATCGCGGATGGAGGAGCTCAGTGGCAATCAAAGCAGTTGCAGCTGGCACCAGGCAGCGCGACCGAGGCCCAGGGAGAAGGGACGAGGAAGGGCAAGTGACGATGCCGGGGGTGGGGGAGCTCGGGGGCGCCCAGCCCAGGCATGCTCGCGTCGTGAACAAAATCACGACGTGTCGTTTTTGGCCGTTTTCGGTCTCTGGGGGCCTCACTGGGCCCCGGGGCCGTCAACAAAACGACTCAGGATGAAAAGCTGGTCCTGGGGAAACGATCGGGCACTTCCAGGGACCCCGTGTCGACAAAAGACACGGGGGGGGAGGGGGGAGTCCAAGAGGCGGGCTCGCAAATCATGGCCAGGGGCATCTGCGCGGTCGACCTCCGACAGTTTATGATTGCGCCGTTTTCTTTTTCGATCTTAGGGGTCCCTCCCCTGAACCAATCCCACAACTTCAGGATCAGTCAACATCGCATCGGGGAATCGAGTCGGCTTGGAGCGTGCATCGAATCGGGACGCACGAGCACGGACTCGGAATCGAATCGCACCGGCCGCGCCAGCAGGCACGACGCCGCCGTGCGAGCATCCGGCCGCCTTGCATCGCCCGAGCTTTCGCCGGCATCGCATCGCACCAGGCCGGCCGCAGTCGGCATCGACACCGGCTCCAGCGGACCGAGACAGATCCTGCCCCTGCGCCGATCCCGCCCCTTTCTGAGTGTCGTTTAGCCGATCCCCACCTCCAGCGGCGTGGCCTGGGCCCCATTGGCCGATTTGCCCCCCTCCCCCCTCCCCCCCCCACATGGAGAACTAGGCCGTCCCCTTCGGGTCTCGAGGGGTGCCTCCCCAAGTGGGGTGGCCATTTGGGGGGGGCCTCGAAGGGGATGGGCATGGGGAGGGGGATCGGTTCAACGATGCCGATCCCCCGCCCCTTTTAAAACAGGGCTAGGATCGGGATAAATCGCTCCAGAGCGTTCCGGAGCGCTCTCAGAGCGTTCCGGAACGCTCTGGAGCGGCCGCGGCGCCCAATACATCCTCCAAACCCGCCGATTCTCAGGGATTTCGAGTTATCCCGATCCCATGTTGTCCCGATCTTCGCGTCGTTTTACCTTTCGCCGCTCCCGCGGGCCGATGAGGAAGGGGCCCTCCGCCTCCTCGGCGCGGGCCAGCGCCCCCTCCGCGGCCTCCAGCCTCTCGCGGCCCTCCTCCGGGGGCAGGGGGCGGCCGCACGCGACCGGCACCCCTGGCCTTGGGCCACCCTTCGGCTACACGCAAGAGCGAGGAGGACGAGGAGGAGGACGAGGAGGAGGACGAGGAGGAGGAGGAGGAGGAGGAGGAGGAGGAGGAAGAGGAGGAGGAGGAGGAGGAGGAGGAGGAGGAGGAGGAGGAGGAGGAGGAGGGGCAAAAGTGACCTCTGGTGCGCGGCTTTCCTGAAGGGGCCCAAGGACACCCAAACAAATATACACACAAATCCCAGGATGCCCCATGCTTCTGCATCTTTTCCGGAGCTTCGTCTTCCCCCCCCGCTTCGCATATAGTTTCCCATCTTTTCCTGGGAGTCGCCAGTTCATTGTCTGTGCATTTTCTCCCCTCCTGATTTTTGGATGCCGCTGGGGGACCGAGCCCGAGCGCGCAGGACGCTGCTGTCGCACCCTGTTCGGCGATCGGGGGACCCCCGTGGGCCCGCACCGAAGGTCACTCCGGCGAAGGATCCCTCTTACGTCCAGTGGAACCCTGTGCCCTGGCGCTCGCGTGCAGGCCCTCCCGGCCCCGACCGCGAGGGCCTGTGCGGCAAGGTCGTGCCGTGACGACGTCGGCGTTGGCTCCCGACACCGCGTGTCGTCGTTCGGCCTCGAAGGATCGCGTCTTTCGCACAAATGGCGTGGACTCGTCGATGGCGGCCGACTCCAGGCCGCTGGCGGCGTTCAACCTTGAACGCTGGCGCTGGGGTTAGGTCGGGCGTGTCCCCCTACAGGCGGATTTTGGGCGAAAATATTATAACAGTCAAAAATATTCAAAAATAGTTAAAAATGATAGAAAAGATCGTCCTCAGACTATTTTTTTACTATTTGGGAATGCTCCCCCTGTAGAGGGACACGCCCGATTTAACGCTGGGGTCGCCGCCGCGTCGACACGACGCCACCCTGCCGAACACGCCACCCTGGGGCCCCGGACTCGGGGAACAGGGAGCTACCAAGGGCTCCCAACTTCGCGCTTCGCGCTGCGCGAAGCGCGAAGTGCGAATAACTTCGCGCTCTCGCGCCGCCTCCCAGGGGAGGAGAGGAGGATGAGGAGGAATTGTAGCCGAACCGCGAAGCGCGAAGAACTTCGCGCCCTCGAGGGCGCCCGTGGCTACGCAGCATGCACTTTTCGGGGAGGTCCGCGCGGACTTCTCGGGCATCGGCGCGGGAGCTCCGCGCGCCAGGGAAGGGCGTCCAGCGCCGATCCGAGGAACCCAGGAACCGACCACAGCGATGTTCAAGACGAAATGGCGTTTACGTTTATAACGAACCAAAGCGAACGTTCAAAACGAAGCCGTTGCTGAGCGAAAGCGAACGACGAAGCGGGCGTTTCGAACAACAGCGAACAACGAAACAGCACAACGAACGAAAACGACACGAACAACAACACAAGGGCCCAGACCAAGCTAAACAGCGTCGTGGTCGATCCTTGGAGGAATCCGCGCGCACCTCCAAACATCGATCTGCTCATTTCATTGCATGTTCGCCTCGAGGGCCGGCCTGGGCCGGGGGGCGGAGGCGCGGTGCGCGGCCGCCCTCTGCGGGCTCCTCCCGCAGCAGCTGCGCCTCGGCGCGCTCCAGCTCGCCCCGCACCAGCTCCTCTCGAGCAGGGGGGCGACTACAGAGGCGACTTACCCCAGAATGGACTTCCCCGTCGAGTCTACGAACGAATACGCAGATCCGACGGGGAAGTCCACTGTGGGGTGCACCGGCTCTGTCTGTATAGCCGATCCCCCTCGCTCGATCCTTGGCGCCGTCCAGCCGCGCCTGCACCTCCCGGCCCCTCTGCCGCAGCCTGCCGGCCGCCAGCTGCAGGGCGCCGTGGGGGCTCTCGGCGAGCTCGTCGCAGGTGCGCCACCAGGAGGCCAGCGCCCGCGCGGCGGCCACCACCGCGCCCGCCCGCCCGGCCTCCCCGCCCTGCTCCGCCTCGCTCTCGTCGCCCAGCGGCAGTGCCTGCAGCTCGGCCTCCGCCACCGCGGCCTCGAGGCGGTCGAGGCTGGCCCGGTGGTCGAGCAGCCGGCGCTGGCTGGCCTCGGCCTCGCGCGCGGCGGCCGCGAGGCCTCGCAGCTCGCGCTCGGCCCCCTCCAGCCGGGCTCGCAGGTGGCCCAGCTGCGACTGGAAGGCGGGCGACTCGCGGTTCCTTCTTCAGAGGCAGAGGAGGTGGCATGCACCAAATGGCAAAGATTCGGAGGTCTGTGCAGATTTCTTGGATGGGCGCGCCAGGGGCGGCGCTGGAGGCGCCGCCAGGGGGGTCCAACGCCGACACAAGAACTCCGAGCGGACCTCCGCTAACTTGTCTTACGGTGATGGCATTGGACCAAGGACCAATGGATAAGGAATCCAGGGTCCGGAAGCCAGAGGACCTCCAATCGTAGATCGGCCAAGGACACCACCCCCGCTCTCATTAGGAAAGAAATCCTGGGGGGTCTGGGGCCTCTTGGGCACATTCCTAGGGGAGCGAAGAATGACATACACATAACAACTCAGAGGTCCGCGCGGACTTCTCGGATCCGCGCTGGGCCTCCCTCGCGGCGCCTCCGGCGCCGCCCTCTGAGTTTTTGTGCTTATGTCACGCTCTTCGCTCCCCTATACTTCCTCAGCGAACGCCACCCCCACCGCATGTGAATGCAGTTTTGCCCGACCAGCCATAACTGGGGGAGCTGTGGTCCTTACCCCCCTGGGGGAACCCATCGCGTCGACGATCTCTCGAGAGGGGTGTCGAAATCGATGGGTCCCCCAGGGGGGTAGGGACCACAGCTCCCCCAATTGTGGCTGGCCTGTTTGCCCTCTCCGATCCTCGGGTTCTTCTGGCACGCCTCCAGTGCCTGCCGCGCTGCCGCGCATGCCGCCTTGGCGGGCGCCTCGGCGGCGAGCGCGGCAGCCCCCGCTGCGCGCAGCGCCTCGGGGGCGACGGTCTCGAGGTCGTCCCTGCAGAGCGCCCCCGACGCCTCGACCACGGCCGCCACCTCCCGCTCCGCGCGCACCACCCCCTCGAGGAAGTCCGCCATCTGCAGCCGCACGGTGCGGGCGAAGGTGTCCACCTCTGGCCATCGCTCGGACGTCCATTTCCTGTGCTTTTTTCGGTTTCGTGCGTGGTTTTCTCGCGAAATGATCAAGGATCCTCCTCGATGGTCCTCGCCGAAGGAAAAATGCACACGTCCGAGCGATGCCAAGACCTTCAGCTGGGTGATCTTCAGCGCCATGGCCTCGGCGCGCGCCTGGATCCCCTGCAGCTCGGCCACCACCTGCAGGCGCGAGGCGCCGTCGGCGAGCTGCCGCGCCTCCACCAGTGCCTCCAGCGCCGCCGTCTTCGCCGCGAGCGCGGCGGGCTCCGCCTGGCGCGCCAGCGCGGTGCACGACTCCAGGCACGGTGTGGCCTCCTCTGCCGGCACGACCTCGCGCCCGCCCGCCCAAGGCTTCTGCGCCTCCGCGATCTTCTCCTGCCACGCCTCCGCCTTCTTGGCCTCCGCCTCCGCCCGCCGGACCAGCAGCTGGCCCAGAGCCCGCTGGCGCTGCTCGCGGGCTTGCGAGCGGAGCTCCGCCAGCCTCCCGCACGCGGCCGCCGCGCGCTGCCGCAGCGCGGAGAGGCCCTGCCGGTGCGCCGTGTCAGCCGCCGCCTCCGCACGGCGCTCGAGGAACTGGAGCAGCTTCGCTGCCCTGGCTACCGTGGGCTGCACCGACGCCTCCACGGCGGCCGCCTCGTCCTCGAAGGCGGCTTGAGATGTGAGCGCGGCCGCGACGCCCTCCACGTCGGCCTCGACAGATGCCACCTTGCCGCGCAACGCCTCCAGATCCGCTCTGGCTTTCACCCCCTGGTCATACTCTGCACGGGCACGCTTGTATGGATTTAACTTCCTTTGCGCCTCGACGACCCGCTTGCGCATGGGCGCTATCTCGAGCAACACCGCCTTCTGCTTCTCCTCCGGGAGCTTCCTGGCGAGCCCGATCTGCTCGTCGATGCTGCTGCGAGCAGCGGCGATCGCCGCCTGCGCCTCGTCGGCGCGGGCCTGGATGGTCTTCACCACCGCCTCGATTTCGGCGCTCGACTCCCCCGCCTGAGCTGCGGCCTCCACCTGGACCGCTCCGGAAACCCTGGATCCATGAACATCGCTTATTCGACCCCCGTCCCCATGGGCTTGGCCTGGGCCCCACTGGCCGATTTTTTCCCCCTGGATGGGGATATACCCCAGGAAGCATTTAAGAACCCCCCCCCCCCCCTTCCGGCAAATCGATAACCCTTCCGCACCCTGGAAGCGTTACCTGGCACCAGGAGCCCTCCTCCTCCTCCTCCTCATCCTCCTCCTCCTCCTCCTCTCCTCCACCCACGAACTTCCTCCTGCCCCCTCCTCCTCCTCCTCCTCCTCCTCCTCCTCCTCCTCCTCGATTTCGAATTTCGATTGTAGCCCAGGGGCCAGGCCTCCGCGAATTTGTTGTGTGTCCGGGTGCTAAACCTATCGTGCGGTTATTTCGGCCCCTCGGAATATCGAATAAAAATGCGGTGCTAAGATATCGCCGGGGGGTTTCTTAAATGCTTCCTGGGATGGTGAGATGGTGGGGCTCGGGATGTGGGCGGGGATAGGGGTCGCTTAAACGAAACTGGATCCCCCAAAGCTGTCACACCATGGGGGGCAACCTTTGCCTTTGCCGATTTCCGCTGTCGGAGCCGCCCCCGCTTCTGCTTTCGCCGGCCCCTGCCGGCCTCCCCAGGAGGCTAGCTATCAACCTTGCGGCCCCTCTGAGGTACAGTCAGGACCAGTCATGTGGATGGAGCGTGCTCCGACGAGTTTCTTAATAAGCGTCGGGGGGGCGTCACCCCCGCCGACAGCCCCACATCGACCCCCGTCGCGGGCAGCCACAGCGCGCCGAAGGCGCTCCGACCCCCGTCGCGGCGCGACGACGAAGCGAGGTTGACCCCCGTCGGGGGGGGTACCCCCCCACGCTTATGAAGAAATCCAGAGTACGGATACGGGGGACCTAGAACACAGCAAGGTGGCAGGGCACCCTTGGACCAAGGAGCCTTTTTTGGCATCCACGGCCAAAGACCCATGAACATGGGCAAAGAGGCTGATTGGAGGAGATCGCCACCGAGGCCAACCGCCCCTCACCATTAGTCCGACGACCCCGAGCTCTCTTCGCCTCCGCGAGGGCGACGCGCAGAAGATGCCCAGGATAAGGGGACTGACATCCACATGAGCACAAACATTCGGAGGGGAGGAGGAGGAGGAGGAGGAGGAGGAGGAGGAGGAGGAGGAGGAGGAGGAGGAGGAGGAGGAGGAGGAGGAGGAGGAGGAGGAGGGCCCGCGCGGATTTCTCGGGCCCGGCGCGCGGAGCGCGCCATGGGGTGGCGCGAGGAGGCGCCGCCAGGGGGGTCACGGAACACATGCTTTTGGCACAGTCGGGGCGTTGACCTAAGGAACCCTAAATAAGGAACGAGGCCCCCTGGAGGCCTCCCGAGTTCTCCAAGAGGCCTAAAAAGAGGCGCCAAGAGGCCCCAAACGGCCCCACCGAGGCTCCAAGAGGCCACGAACGCGCAAGCAAACGCCTGCGATGGCACAATACGGGCCGGCGGAATGAGCGAAGCGATTAAATAAGGAACGGGCCCCCTCTTTTCCACAAGTTAAGCTTCGATCTCCGATCGAAGACATAAGGGAAACCTGAGGCAAGCTGTGAACCACTTAAGGAACGCGGAGCCCCTCCCCAACGAAAAGGGTTCCTTCTTCAGGGCCCCGACTGTATTCTTTTGGTAGGTGGATCTCACAAGCTCTCCGCCGTCTCTGGCGGTGTGCGTTGCGAGCAGGAGCGCGGCAAAGCCACAGGAAAGCGCGGCACTGACCGTGTAGCTCCGCGCACGTGACACATTTTGACGAGCAGGAGCACAGCAAAGCCCCAGGAGAGCGCGGCATCGACAGTGCAGCTCAACATAGACAGCCGTGCGGAGCTCCGAAAGCTTATGCTTACGCCGTTTGCCGTCTTCGACAGACCCCACTGGAGTCCGTCGAAGACGACAGGCTCTTCGACAGACTCCAGTGCAGACTCCATTGAAGCAGGGCACCCTTGCATGCTTGGACCAAGTATGACAGGGTGCCCTGCTTCAAGCAGGGACGCGCTGACGCGGGCAAGCCCAGGCCATGCCGCGGGCCCCCGGCGGGCCGCCCACGCCTCCCACGCCCGGGCCTCCGGAGGGCAGCGGAGGCTGTGCAGAGTATGCCCCGAACCCAGGCGTGCGAGGGCGCCTTGCTGCAATCGGGGGCGCGCTGACCCCAGCACACAAGCACTAACAGCAACGAGATGGAGAAGAGGGAGGAGGGGGAGGAGGAGGAGGAGGAGGAGGAGGAGGAGGAGGAGGAGGAGGACCACTGCAAAGCCAAGAGACATCAACGATGTTGGAATACGCCCTCCCTCCAAGCTCCCTCTTCACAGGCCCCTGCAGCGGTTATGCCGCGTGCCCCGGCGGGCCGACTGCGGCTCCCGAGGACCGGGCCTTCCGAGGGCGGGGAGGGGGGGGAGGGGCGGCTCCACGTGGCGGTGTCCAGGAACCCCGACCCCGGGCCCCGAGCGATCACGGCCAGGGACCTTTGCTCGGCGTGTCGCGGCGGCGGCCTCGGCGACGCCATGCCTTGCCGGTGGATAACGTGCCACTCCGCTCCGCGGGGCGGAGGGCTGGGAATAGCCCGGGACGTTCACGCCTCGGGACCGGGCCGTGGATGGCGTGCCGCGCCGAAGCGCGGTGGGCCAGGACTGGCGCGACACGCTAAGCCAAAGCTCCTGAACGTAGCATCTCTTGTGGGGACGACTTTTGCCTCCGCTGGCTTCCGCCGAGGACGAGATGTCGACTCCTTCGATTCCTCGAAGGCGAGGCCATTTCTGGAGCGCCTCTCGACGAGGCTCCTAAAACCGCGTCAGCCAGAGGGGACCGGCCGGCCTCACGTCAGCGCTGATCCCCGTCACGTGCGCCCCGATTCAATGGCTCGTCCTGGACGCCTGCTTGTACTGCCGGGCCACCTTTTAGAAGAAGACGTGGCGTAAGCATACGCTTTCGTAGATCCGCGCGGATTTCTTGGATTGGCGCTGACCCCCCGAGGCGCCGCCAGCGGGGTCAAGCGCCGATCCCAAATGACCGCGCCAGGACCCCCGAGCAATCATGCCTGCGCAACTTTCTGCCCTTCGTGTCGTTCAAAGAAGACCGCCGCCGGCCACGGGGTCGGGAGACGCCCTCTGCCGGCCGCAAAAACGTGGAACAGCTGGCCGCTCTGGATCCTCTGCGATGACCAGAGCTTCAAACCAAATATTTTCCAAGCGCAGAAGAGGACGTAAACATCACATTTTCGGAGGTGCGCGCAGATGTCTTGGATCGGCGCTGGACTCCCCTCCCTGGCGCGCGGAGCGCGCCAGGGGCGGCGCCGGAGGCGCCGCCAGGGGGGCTCTCCGGCGCCGATCCCCGAACTCCGCGCGGACTTCCGAGCGTCTGCTTCTGTCTCTGTGCTGGTTTGTGCCGCGATTCGTTTGCAAGCCCCACTCCCCCCGCCTGGCTCCTCCGCCACTCGGCGTCGCCCGCCTCCACCGATTTTGTTGGAAGCGTTGGATTCCGTCTCTGTGCTTCTTTGTGCCCCGATTTCGTTGCAAGCCACCCCCCCCCCCCACCCGCCTGGCTCCTCCGCCACTCGGCGTCGCCCGCCTCCACCGCGAGGGCGTCCACGATCTCCGCCGCGAGCTCCGACGCCGCCCGCGCCCGCGCGAGCGGCGCGCCCGCCGCCGCAGGCGCCCCGGCGCCCTGCGGCCCCTCCTCTCGGGGGGTGCGGCGGAGGGCCGCGGGGACGGCGAGACCTTGCCTGCTCCCCCCTCCCTATGGAGGAGAGAGAGGAGGAGGGGGAGGACGGGAGGAGGAGGAGGAGGAGGAGGAGGAGGAGGAGGAGGAGGAGGAGGAGGAGGAGGAGGAGGAGGAGGCAGGAGGGGAGGAGGAGGAGGAGGAGGAGGAGGACCCCCAGAGGCCCCCGCCCCCCCAACCCCCTCGGGTCACGACACAATCGTGACGGAGGCTCTTTTTGCCGTGTTCGGCCTCTGGGGGCCCTTTACCGGGCCTTGGGACCGTTGCAAACAGATCAGGATGAGAAACCAGTCCCACCCCCCCGACGCAGGGGGAAGGGAGGGCAGGCAGCTCCACTCGCACGAGGTGCCGAACGAGGCCCTTGCGGGGGTAGTTTTCGGCGGCGCCCCTGGGCGAAACTTCCTCTGAGCCAGGGCTGGCCGACTGTTATTGGGCAGGCGAGCACGGTCCCCCCCGTTCCCCCCCCAGAGATCCCATGTACTGAACTTGTCAATGCCAGGCCCTCTGAAGCCTCGACCCTCTCCCCATGGCCGGCTTCTTATTCTTCGTCGTTTTGTTGACGGCCCCCCGAGGCTCGAAAGCGGCCCCAAGAGGCCGGAAACGAACAACAACTTCTATGAATTGTTCAAGGCGTTGCATGTCTGGGTCTCTTGCGCCTCCCCATGGCCGTGCACGGCGGCAAAAAAACCGAAAACCATCCGAACCGACAGCGAAACCGAAACCGACCGAAGCCGACAGGCCGCAAGCAGCCCAGAAGGGCGCAACGACGTGGCAACGACAACATGACCGACCGAACCGAACCGATCGAACCGAATCGAGTGCGACGCAACCGAACCAACCGAACCGCGAACACCCGTGCTCCCCCTCCGCGCCCTCGGCCTCCACCTTCCGAGCCTTCCGCGCGGCGGGTGCCCCCGCGGCGGCTGCCGCGGTGGCCCGCCCAGACCGCTGCTGCTGCCATGTCGGCCGCCGACGGCGCTGCCGCGCGGAAGGCGCGGAATGTGGGGGATCGAGGGCGAAGGGGGCGGGGCACAACTCGCTGCAAGGGTGCAACAAATGTGATGAAATTCGCCCTGCCGAACTTGAAACTGTTAGCTGCACTCCTCGGCCAAACATCCCACCCACCCGCAACTTGGTTTGCAAAACCCATGCGACGGCGATTGCGATGACTGCTTGGCGTTGGCTGGTGCACCTCTGCGGCCGCGCTAACCCGCGCATGCTCGCGCGCGCAGCGACCAGCTAGTGCGGCGCGACCGACGCAGCCGCGGTGGCGCTGATCGCTGGGCACTTTCAGCGGGCACTTCAGTGCGAGTCGGTGGCGTGGGCGGGCGCGGTATCATGGCGACGCCGACAACGGTAGACACGATGATGCGAGTATCGATGGTGGTGGCGATGGTGGCGATGACGACGGCAAGGCGAATGACGGCGCCGATGTTGATCACGCCCGCCGATCACGATGACGGTGTCATCGCGTCGGCGATGAAGGCCTTAGAAGGAGTTCGACATGCGCGCGCGGTCGACGCGCGCGAATGGCCCGCGTGGTATTATTTGACACAGACTGTGCCCCCCCAACACGCGCGCAAAGGCGTTCGGATGAGTTCGTCATGCTGTTTTTTGTGTGTTTATGTTTTCTTTGTTTTGAAATTGTCGCCTGGGAGCGCGCGCGAGCTTGTTTGAACACTGCTGTTGCATCACCAAATGTTTTTTGTATGGATTCGGAACGCTGGGTTTTGACATCCTTACGAAGCCTGCGGTTTTTGACGGATTGCGGCATGCGCGCACGACGCGCGCGCGCGTGTACATCATCCTGTTTTTTGGCAAGAGATTCTTGCGATAACATGCGCGCAAGAGCGTTCGAGCGATTTCTACATGCGCGCGCGAGAGGCCCGTTAGGTAATATGGTACGAACAGGTTGAAACACCCATCGTTTTCTTGAGAACTCGCAAGAGCGCGGGCGCACGCTTCTTTTTGTTTGAACGCCCTTGTTGCGAAACAGTGCGTCTTTCACATGTTTTTGGGACACTCGGTTTTTAATTCCTTACGAAACCCTTGGTTTTTGTTCACGACTTTCGGCATGCGCGACGCGCGCGTGTACACTTCGTTTTTTCCCCACATGTTTCGTGGGGTTATGGTTTTCTTCCCTGCCGCGCCGCACCCGCGTCTCACACCTCCCCCCTCCCCTTCTCCTTCTTGCACCAGAGCGGGTGTGCAGAGGGGGTGGTCCCTGAGCTCGGCAGGCGTGGCATTTCCTCGACGCCACAAGGGGGTGCGCTAGGGGTGAGGGCCCTATGCGCTGCAGGCTCCCAGGGCGTGGCAGGCGTGGCATGTCGTCGACGCCACAGGGGGTGCGCTTGGGGTGGGGGCCCTATGCGTTGTAGGCTCCCAGGGCGTGGAAGGCGTGGCATTTCCTGGGCGCCACAGGGGGTGCGCTGAGGGTGGGGGCCCTATGCGTTGTAGGCTCCCAGGGCGTGGCAGGCGTGGCAATTCCTCGACGCCACAGGGGGTGCGCTGGGGGTGGGGGGCCCTATGCGTTGCAGGCTCCCAGGGCGTGGCAGGCGTGGCAGTTTCCTCGACGCTGCAGGGGGTGCGCTGGGGGGGGGGGGCCCTATGCGTTGTAGGCTCCCAGGGGTGGCAGGCGTGGCATTTCCTCGACGCCGCAGGGGGGCGGTGGGTGGGGGGGGGGGACCTATGCGCTGCACGCTCCCAGGGCGTGGCAGGGTGGCATGTCGTCGACGCCACAGGGGGTGCGCTGGGAGGTAGGAGGAGGAGGAGGTACAGGAGGAGGAGGAGGAGGAGGAGGAGGAGGAGGAGGAGGTGGTACAGGAGGAGGAGGAGGAGGAGGAGGAGGAGGAGGAGGAGAACGAGGAGGAGGAGGAGGAGGAGGAGGAGGAGGAGGAAGACGGGGAGGTGGGGCAGCAGCAGCGGCAGCAGCAGCAGCAGCTGCAGCAGCAGACGCAGCAGCAGCAGCAGAAGCAGCAGCAGCAGAAGCAGCAGCAGGAGGAGGACACCGAGGAGGAGAAGGAGGAGCAGCAGCAAAAACACCGATGGTGCACATGGGAAATAAAATCGGTATGTGGGGTTCCTCGTTCGCGTAATTTGCAATGGGTTCTTGAAAACGGATGACTTTTGATGAACGAGTGTGCGCGCATATCATTTTTGCAGGCGGGGGTGTGCGAGCTCCGGGCTGCCTGGGATGGTATGAATTCCTGTTTCGGATGGACAATGGGCAGAATCACGCACACACGCATATACATACAGATCGATATGTATATATGTATATGTTCATGACTCGTGTGTGTATATGTATGTATGTATGTATGTATGTATGTATGTATGTATGTATGTATGTATGTATGTATGTATGTATGTATGTATATCTATACACACGCTAAAACCATCGCGTGCGCTTCGCATTAGGTCGGCTTGATCGGTTAACCCATGTGATATCATTTTGGTCGCTTCTTGCGTCCAAAGTCTCCCTTGGAGGCCCTGCGCAAGCCCCGGAATCCGATGGAAGGGGAAATGCGGAACCGCAGAACTCATTACTTCCCTTTAGATATTCAACGTTATTTGGGGCCGCAAAGGCTCCCTGGGATCTTTTTCGGGAGGTGATGGGGGGTCTGAATTGAAGTCTGCTGTGCAAGAGTAGACAGGGGCCAAACTTGGAAAACAAAGAATTGCAGGACTCCCATTTTCTTCCGGTTCCTTTGCGCTGTTCGGCGCTGTTTTTTGTTTGTGCCTCGCGGGTTTTGTTAGCTGGGTCCCTCGGGGGCGTGGGATCTTCCAGACCCCCTGGGGTTCTGGAAGCTTCCTGGAGGCCTGGAGAGCCGTCGGAAGGGTGTCTCGGGCTGCGCGTGAGCGTGTCGGGCCGTTGTTTACGTTCTGGGGGCTCCTTGGGGTCGTCTTGGGCAGTCCCTGGGCGTCTTGGGGCCCCCCTGGGAAGCCGGGGGGCTCGGTGCAGGCCAGATGTCAGGGGATGCGTGGGATCTCCGAGTAGGAGCCACTTTGAAAAAAAAGGGGGGGCGCGGTCCTGGGCGCCTCGTCGGCAATTTTTGGGGTTTCGTGGCCCGTCTTGGACCCGTCCTGGGAGTCTCTTGGGCGGTCTTGGGGCGGTCTTGGGGCGATGGAAGCTCGAAAACGCGAGAAAACAAAAACAATCAAAATCTACGATTTTGGCCTCTTCGGACTTTCCCGGGACGCCTCTCGGACCTCTCTTGGGGCCTGTCGGAAGCCTCCTGGGGGCGTGGAGGGCCGTCCACAAGGGGTTTTGGACTGCTTGGGGGCGTCTTGGGCCGTTCTCTGCGTTCTGGGAGCCTCTCGGGGTCGTCACGGGCTGTCCTCCGGCGTCTTGGGTCTCCCCAAGAAGCCGGGAGGCGCGGTGCCGGCCAGGTGTCAGGGGATGTCAGAGGAGAAAGAATTCTGGGAATTTCCTATATTTTTTCTTTCTAAAATCCTCGATCTTCGAGGGTCGGAAGCGGGAAAACGTGAGTAGGCGAAAAACATTTGAAAAACAATTGGGAATCGACGATTTTACCCTCTTTGAGCTCTCTCGGGACGGCTCTCGCATTTTTCTGGCTTGCGCCCGCAGCACCTCAAGGACGCTTTGCAGACGGCCGCCCAACGCGACGAGGTGTTGGAGCAGCTGCTGAGCCTCGCCAACCTCCTCGCCGGGGGCCAGGCTCCCTCTGGCGTGGCGGACTACCTGGCTGGCGCCTCCCTGGTGGCCTTGCCCAAGAAGGACAGCGGCCTTCGACCAGTGGCTGTTGGCGAAACCGTGCGGCGCTTGGTGGCGAAGTGCTTGTGCAGCCAGGTCTCGGGCGCCGCCCGGGACCGCCTTGCCCCCCTGCAGGTCGGCGTTGCCCTCCCCGGCGGCTGCGAGGCCGCGGTCCGCGTTTCCCGGCAATGGTTCGCGCGCTACGCAGGCAGCAGACAAAAGGTGTTTGTCAAGTTAGACCTGAGCAACGCTTTCAACACCCTTGACCGCCAAACACTATTGCAGGCGGTGCGCGAAGAACTGCCGGCACTGGCGCCGCGGGCCATGTGGTGCTACCAGGCCCCCTCCCGGGTGTGGCTGGGCCGGCACTCCGTCCGCTCTGAGTGCGGCGTGCAACAGGGGGGCCCTCTCGGACCAGTGCTTCCCCCCCTGGCGTTGCAGCGCGCTGCGGAGAGAGCCGTCCGCCAGCCCGCCCCCGCGGCCGAGGGCGCCTTGGACCTGACTTTCTTCTTCCTCGACGACGGCGCCCTAGCGGGCGACCGGAAAGCAATGGCGCGCCTGCTCCACCAGCTGGTGGGCGAACTGGCAGCCGTGGGGCTCCGCCTGAGCACGGGGCCGGGGAAATGCGAGGTGGTCTCCGCCGGCGGCGACGACAGCGAGGTGGGCTTGCAGGCCTTCCCCCCTGGCTTCCGCCTGCGCGCGGACAGGTGCTGCGAACTCCTGGGCGCGCCGATCGGCAGCGACGCCTTCTGCCGCGAGCACGCGCAGCAACGAGTCGACAAGGCCACCGAGCTCCCCGACGCGCTCGGCACTCTGGAGATCGCCCAAGTCGCGCTCCACCTGCTGCGACAGTGCGCCGGCTTCTGCAGGCTGAGCTACTCATCGCGGGTTGTTCCGCCCAGCGTGCGCACGGAAGCGAAACTTGCTCTCGACAAAGCAGTCCGGGCCAGCCTGGAGCAGCCGAGCAGCAGCTCCCCGACGGGCGACTCCTGGGCGCAAGCGCAACCCGCCCTCAAGGCAAACGGTCTGGGGCTGCGCTCAGCGGAGCGCCACGCACCCGCCGCCTACCTTGCTTCCCGCGCGGCATGCTCTGCGCTCTGCCGGCAGCTTTGGGCTGGCTGCTCCGACGACGACACTGGCGCCGACGGCGCTCTGGGCGCTTCCGTGGCGTCCTATAACGCCCAGCTGCCGCGGGCGGGGAGGATCGAGTACGACGCTGGCCCGCGCGGCGACCAGAGGGGCCTTTCTGACAAACTAGACGAAGCCGCCAAGGCCGAACTCTGGGAGCGCGCCAGCCTCGCCACCAGGGCCCACCTTTCGCTGGTCAGCGCGGAAGGCGCGTGCGGGTGTAGCTGGCGAGCGATGGGGGCTCTCTGTCCAGCCTGCGACGGCATCCTCGACGTCTACGGGGACCACGCGCTGGTATGCCCCTGCAGAGGGGACCGCGTGAAGCGGCACAACGCCTTGCGCGACCAGGTTTCTTCGTCGCGCAGGCCGCTGGCTTCCCTGGCGCTGAGCTCGAGCGACCAGGCTTGCTGCAGCCCCGCCTGCGAGGCGAGGGCCCCCCCGAGACGGAGGAACCGGCGGTGGGCTCGACGAGGGCGCCCGGCGCCCAGCAGACGTGTACATCCCCTGTTGGCGCAGCGGCGTCCTGGCCGCTTTGGACTTCGCAATCACCTCCGGGTTGCGGGGGGACCAGCTAGCTGCCTCAGCCGCCGCGCCTGGCGCCGCCGCCGAGCCCTACGAGGAGCAAAAGCGCCAGTTTCTCGACACGGCGCGCAGCTGCCGTGCGGCGGGCATCACCTTCATTCCGATGGTGATGGAAGCGCACGGTGGCGCATGGGGGAAGGAGGCGCGCCGCGCGTTGGCCGCCTTGGCGAAACGTGCGGCGGACGCCACTGGGGAAGACCCCGCGCAGGCAGCAGCGGAGCACGCCCAGCCACTCTCGCAACTCTTTCACAAGGAGAATGCGCGGGCCGTGCTCCATCGTCTGCAGACGCCATGCGGGGCGCCCACGGCCAGGCTGGCCGCAGCGACAGCGGTGCAGGCGGCGGACACCGCCTGAGCCACCGCCACGCTGCCCCAGGCCGCCCTCCGCCCCTGACCTGCCGCCCCCACCCCCCCCAGCCCGCGATGGCCCCCCGGCCCCCCAACGACTCACGACGACCCCCCGGCCCGCGACGACCCACGACAACCCTCCGACCGCCGCCGACGACCTTCGTCCCTTGCCCCGCTCCCGCCCGCCCCCCCCGTGCTTGCTTGCTGTGTCTTTGCCGTCCTCCCCCCCTCCTCCTGCATGTTCGTGTCTGCTCGCCTTGTGTTTCGCCCTCCTCCTCCTCCTCCTCCTCCTCCTCCTCCTCCTCCTCCTCCTCCACCTCTTCCTCCTCCTTAGTGTGTTGCCGCGCTGCCAGTCCAGAGCAGCTGGCTGTGCGCTCCGCCTGATGTTTCTCTGCGAGCGTGCATGCGGCCGTCCTTCTGCACCCTTGGTCCGGCTGTCACATATTTTCAAATGTCTGCCAGGGCGTGATTCTGAGCCCTGCGATGCGGGGCCACCAGGCTCGCGGCAGGTGCCCTGCGCCGTCTGACACTTGCCTTGGACTTGTGGGGAGCTCCCTTCTCTAGTTAGATGCACAGATCGTGCAGCTTCGCAGCTCTCTTGGGCTGTCCTTGGAGCCTCGTCGGGGGGTGTTTTTGGGCCTCTCAAAGATCGGGGGTGTGTTGGGGGCCTCTGAGGGGTCCCGGAGGCCTCCGGGAGGTCTCTGACGCCTCCTGCTCCCGCTCTTGGGCCCATCTTGGGCCTGTTCTGGGGTGGTCTGGGGCTGTCCTGGGCGCCTCTTCGGCAGTCTTGGAGCCTTCTTGGCCCGTCTTGGGGTCGTCCTGAGGGTCTCTTGGGTGGTCTTGGGGCGGTCTTGGGAGCCTCTTCGGCGCTCGTGGACCGTTGGAAGCTCGAATACGCGAGAAGCCAAAAACATGGAAACAAACCAATGCATATCTACGTTTTTTGCCTATTCGGGCCGTCCTGGGACGCCTCTCGGACCTCTCTTGGGGTCTCTTTGATGTTACCTGGGAGCCTCGAGAGCCGTCGGAAGGCTGACTTGGGCTGCTTGGGAGCGTCTTGGACCATCCTTTCGCATTCTGGGCGCTCCTGGGATTGGTCTTGGGCCTGCCTGGAGCGCTGTGGAGGCTCCCTGGAACGCCCGGGGGAGCGGTACTGGGAGCGTCCCCGAGATGTGACGGGGAGGTGTGGCACCCGGGGCTCGGGGGAAGCGGCATTTATTTATTTATTTCTTTATTTATCTATCTTTACATAAAAGCAGATTCCCAAGGAGTAGTGATAAGTCTGGCCTCGGGAGGGTGGTGGATCCGTTTTTTGTTTTTTGTTTTTGTTTTTGTTTTTTTCAATTCAAAAATAAAAACGAGAAACTACGTGGCGCAACCTATGTGGTGCAACATATTGGTTACATTACATGCATGCGTGCATGCATACATACACACATATACATACATTTATATAGACATATATATATATACACATATAAATATGTATATGCATATGTGTGTATATATATATGCATACATGCATACTTACTTGCTTACTTATATATACATATATATACACACATGTGGTACAGTCCCTGTTGTGCAATATCGGTGGTGTAAGCTACACGGAGCAATCATCTAAGACACATGCGGCCCACCCGCCCCGCCCAAATCTGCTCAACATCGGTCCCCGAATCCCTCCCGGGGTCCATCCCGACACGCTCCTCGAGGCGGATCCAGCCGTGGCGACGAGAAGCCTCCAGGGAGCCCAGGCGGACCACGAGACACGCCAGGGAGGGCTGCCGGTGTCTCGACGGGCCCTCCTCCGAACCGTGGCCATGGCCTTGGCCGATCCTTCGCCCGAGCCCTCTGCTGCACCGCCGCCAGCTCCCTCTCCAGCTGCGCGCGGGCCGCCTCCAGCCGCGGCCCCAGGGCCGCCGCGGCCTCGCCCGCGCCCTCGCCGCGCAGCGCCCGCGAGAGCCTGGCCTGCACGGCCGCCGCGCGGGAGGCCTGCTCCTGCCGCGGCGGCGCGCGGGAGTGGCCCCCGCGGGAGTGACCCCGGGTGCTCCGCCCGCCGACCCCTGCGTGCGATGCGACGGCAGGTCGAGCCCCTCCCCGTGGCAGACTTCGTCGCACCGGGTCCTTCCTTTGCGACCTCGCGGCCGAGAGGGAAGGGCCTGGCCCAGGGGCCCGGAACGTAGAAAAGCCAGCTGTCGCGATCTTTGCTGTTGCCACGCCCAGACCTGAGGGGGGCTGCGACAGTGGCGGCCTGCGTGCTTCGGTTTGGCCCGCCCGCACTCGGCGACTCCGAAGGGTGTGGTTTGCAACCCGCGCCTGGGGGGGCGGGCGGGGACCTCGCCAGAGATCTCTGCCGCGCCCCGACGAATGCTCATCAAACCTTCGGCGCCACGTGGTGACCCCCTGAGCCCCAACGGCGCCAATCGCAGACCACCCCCATGCGTAACTACACCCATTGCAGTCGCCGACACCCCCCACGCCGCCCCCAAAAGCCGCGCGCCAAAGGGTCACTCCGGCCAAGGGCACCCTGACGCGTGGCCGATCCTGCAGCAGCCCGACGCAGGCCCGCAGGGCCTCCGCGCCCGCCCCGCCCCCCTCCGCCAGGTCGCGCGCTGCGCTCAGGGCCTGCCGCGCGCCCGCCTCGACGCCCTCTGTGGCGTCCTCCAGGGAGCCGGCGTCCGCAGACGCATCGGCCCTGTCCTCCCCCAGCGGAGCCGTCGCGCTGGTGCCGCCGCCCTCCCACAGCGCCATCCTCTCCTCCGCCGCGCTGCATCGCCCGCGGAGCGCCTTCAGCTCTCGCACGGCGACCTCGCGCGCCAGCGGCGCGAAAGACTCGGCAGCCGCGAGCAGGGCGTTTACCCTGAGGCAGGCCTGCTCGATCTTGGCGCGAGCCCGCGCTGCCCCCTCGTCGCTGGCGGCGGCCTCGGCCGCCATCTCGGCCGCGGACACCATCTCCATGGCTCCTGGCAGGGCCTCTGCCACCGCCTCCGCGTCTCGCTCCTCGGAGGCCTGCTGTTCCAGGCTCGCGAGCCGCTCCTGTGCCCTGTCCAGCTCGGGGCGGGCGCGGTCGAGCAATCCACTCAGCCGCTCCCGCTGCGACACCAGCTCCGCCTCCACCTCCGGGCCGTCGCCCTGGTCGCTAGAGGCCTGCAAAGGTGGAGGAGGAGGAGGAGGACCAGTGTAAACCCGAGAGTCACCAATAATGTTGGAATAAACACTCCCTCCAAGCTCGCTCGTCATATGCCCCTACAAGGGTTCATTTCCACTGAGGGAACTGCCTCGTTGGAAGGCAGCCGTTTGAATATCCTGAAGCGTGCCAAACATTTTTCTTGGGACACCAACGCAACGGAACAACTTGACTGTTTCGTCTTGACGATCCTGAATCATGCCAGAACGCCATTCCTGGGAATTCAATACTGCGAATATGGTCCGGTGTTTACCGTTTCTCGTTCGTTGATCATGGGAATCCGTGAAACACTTGCATATAAAAAACGAGTGTGCGCGGCGCTGATGCGAGGGCCACCTTTTGAAAAGGAACCGCCCTCAACCCGTGAAGCCCTTGCAACTTTGAAAGACGATGTGCGCGGCGCCGAGACGAGAACCACTTTTTGGAAACGAGCCGCCCTCACTCCGTGAAGCTCTTGCAGTGTTTATAAGAACGGATGTGCGCGGCGCTGGAGCGAGGACCACATTTTGAAAAAGGAACCGCCCTCAACCCGTGAGCTCTTGCATTTACCTAACAGCGAAGACTGATAGGTTTCTAGTGGGATCAAAAGAGAGCAGCAGATCACTCCACAGGGGGGTCCGGGCAGGTGTTGGGGCGTTTCCGGGCGGCATGAGCCAGGCTCGTTTTTCACCAACAGTCACACACTTCGTGCTCTTCGCCTTCCCAGAACTCCATTCCCAGGCCACATTCTGGGGGGCCGGATGCAACTGTAGGCCACTTCGTGCTCTTCGACATCCCAGAACGCCATTCCCGGGCCACATTCTGGGGGGCCGGATGCAACTGTAGGCCACTTCGTGCTCTTCGACATCCCAGAACGCCATTCCCGGGCCACATTCTGGATGCCCGGAGCCAACTGTAGGCCACTTCGTGTTCTTCCATTTCCCAGAACTCCATTCCCGGGCCACATTTTGGATGCCCGGAGCCAACTGTAAGCCACTTCGTGCTCTTCGAGTTCCCAGAACTCCATTCCTGGGCTACATTTTGGATGCCCAGAGCCAACTCTAGTCCACTTCCTGGTCTTCGAGTTCCCAGAACTCCATTGCCGGGCAACATTTTGAATAGCCAGACGCTTCATATTCCTTCCGCCACAGCTGTGTTTGGTTCAGGACTTGCTAGTGACACTGCAGTCCTCTGCATTCAATTGGCCACTACATTCATTCACTGCAGTCCACTGAGTTTTGATTGCAATGGCGTTCCCCTGGCCGTACCCCCATGTCCAACGTTCATCCGCAGCCTCTGCTCCGCGAGGCTCGTCCGAAGTGTCGCCGCCTCGCGGTGCTTCTCAGCCTGCGCCGCCTCGCGGTGCTTCTCAGCCTGCGGAGGAAGGTGGACAGACGCCTGGTTCTGGCGCTGTGCAGCCTGCGTCTTTCACGGTCGCCTCGTTCAATTTCGGGTTCGAGCAGGGCATGATGACTGGTAAGCAGGCGGCCACTCACTGCGCTAACTTCGGAAGGGTGTGCGCCACGATAGTGGAGACCGCTGATGCTGATATGGTCTGTGGCTGCGAGGTCGGTGCGTTCCGTGAAGGCTTTCGCCGAGCAGGGATCAACGTGACAGAGATCCTCAGTAAGCCTTTCGGTGATGGCATTCGCTTCTTGGAGGTCGACAACTACTTGACTCTCTGGGGGTTCCGCGGTGCTTCTCAGCCTGCGGAACTGACTCTGTGCGAAGACAGCAAAGTTTACAGGCCTCCTAGCGGCCGAGATATTGATGCTGTTATTTCACATTTTGAGGTGAACAAACCAGGCCATGACAAGTTCCACGTGGTGATCGCCAACATGCACATCGTGTGCGGCAAGAAACCGCCGAGCATCCAGACTCGAAAGCGGACAGTTCGCCATCTCCGCTTGCACCTGGACGGCCTGGCCAAGATTCTTGAGAATCTAAACGAGGCAGTCGTTGTGCTTGTAGTCGGCGACGACAACCTCACTTTCCAGGAGGCGCGGGAGGCTTACCAGCGCGAGCAGAACGACGAGAAGGTATGGGAGGTCCATGCCACTCCGGCCGACCTCAAAGGCGACCACGTCGCGGTCTGCGGAGCAGTCGCCCGTTTCTGCTCCATTGCCGTTGGCGCGTCTTTTACGGATCGTGGCATGCGCAACGACGCACACGATGCGGTGGCGGTTGTGCTCACTCTCCCTGGTGCTATTCAGCCTGGGGAGAGCAAGAGGCGGAAAATTGTCGTCGAAAACGTCTCCGACGCCGACGTCAGCGTACAGGCGGACCGCGAGTCTTCTGTGCATTGGGATCGGTCGCCGAGTTCTGCTCCTCCGCTTTCACCGACTTCACCGGGTGATCCCGACTACGTCGAGGATGTCGTTCAGAATCGCGCGGACGACTTGCACAGGGAGCTGAGGCAGCTTTGGGACGACAGGTACGACGAGGAGTACGATCCGAAAGTCCTCCATCATCTCAGTCTCTTGCTTTTCAAAAAGAGGAAGTCCACGGAGCCAGCGGACACTGATCCAGCTGGCGCTCCTCAGCCTGGCTCGGAATATGACACGGCCTTTGCGTCTCAGGAGGAGACTGGCCGAGCCATTCTCTCTGTCCTTAAGCTTCGACATGACTTTCTGCGGAGCAAGAACATCGACGACATGCGCTACGTTCTCACGGAGCCTGAGCGCCAGGAATTGGTCAGAGTAGCTCGCGACCAGTACGAGCAGTCGCGGCAGCAGCGTGCGCTTCAGGAACGGGATATCGAAAAGGGAAAAGCGAAAGGCAAGTCTGCGCCACAAGGGGGCCATGCGGTTCCGCAGGGTCCGAACAAAGGGCCAGGCGGTAAGAAAGGTTCTCACGGTGCTTCTCAGCCTGCGGGAAAAGGTGGCCAGGCCAAGGGTGCAGGTCTGGGTAGCGTCGCCAAGTTTGTGAAAGACCAGAAGCGTAAGCGGTGGCATCGCCATTTGCAACGTGTGGCCGGTACCAAACAGATCTGGGAGGTGCTGGCCTTCTCAGGGCGCTTCGACGTTGATTGGCTAACGCAAGCGTTGCAAGCTGATCACAGTGAGGGCCGTGATGCAGCAGTTCCCGAGGAAGCTCTGCGGCAACAGCGGCGCCGGCTGCACCACCAGAAGGCCGAGGCCATCGCGCGCTACAACGAGGGGGAGCGGCTTTCCCTCCATCTGTCTGCCCAGGCTGGCCAGGCAAAGCCGAACTTCACGCGCAGGCAGCTGGGCGTGTTGCAGATGTTTGAGAGCGGAGCGCTGCTTCAAATCCGCAACCAAGCGATTCTGGCGTGCGGGCACGGCCGTCTGTTCAGGGGCGATGGCGACTACCTGGACATCGGCGGCAGCACGGGCGGTGGCTCCAGGCGCATCATCGATTCTTGGCAGCCGCCGGACTGGCGTGACTTCCTCCAAGACGATCAGGACATCTGAGTTTTGCAAGTCTCTCTGCCCGCGGTGCTTCTCAGCCTGCGGTCTGCCGCTCTCCAGCTGCGGTCTCGAGCAGTAGTGTTCGAAAGCATGCGAGTTCCTGCGGTGCTTCTCAGCCTGCAGGTTTCGCAGCCTGCGCTCTGCAGTACAAGTGCTTTTCAGCATGCGACATCCTGCGGTGCTTCTCAGCCTGCAGGGTTCGCAACGTGCGGTTTGCAATGCATTCCTTTTCAGTATGCGAGTTCCTGCGGTGTTTCTCAGGCTGCAGGGCTCGAGGCTCTTCGCTTCGATGCCAATGTTTTCAGACACCGTAGCTCCGTTCCGTTAACGTCTTCCAAGAGCCGCTCGCAACCTTTTGCAGCTGGCTGTCTGCACGCTTCGCCGGCTTTTGCTGCGCGGACAATTTTCTCACACACGTCAGCGCCGTTTGTAGGCGTCAGAAAAACATGTAGACATTCACGAAGGGCTCAGTCTGTATATCGTCACATCATTACATACGCAGTCGTCGAACACATCGGTGTACATTCAGCGCTTTGTCCTTCTACAGCATTCTTTCCGTTGATAACAGTGTTCTGATGGGTTCGCTTCTTTCTAAAAGCGTTGATAGCAGTGTCTCGTTTGCGGACAACTCATTCTATATCAACTCACTGATACCGAGTTTCCTTTCGCCATAAGTGAATGCATACCAGTGTATGTTGGTTGCTACAAAAGTGGGTTCCTACAACCGACTTCATGATCGCTATCATCATCGCAGATTTCACTCATCCTCATCACCACGACTGGTTCACGTTGGCCTGCGGTGCTTCTCAGCCTGCAGTTCCTTTCGTTATACTGTAGTTGAAGCCGTTCATGGCAGTGACTCGTTTAAAGACAACTTTAGTATTGGGGGAAGTGTCGATAGCAGCGTTTCTTTTTACTTATACAAGCGTTGATAGCAGTGTCTCGTTTGTGGACAACTCATTATATATCAACTCATTCATACAGAGTTTCTTTTCGCAGCAAGTGAATGCACAGCAGTGTATCTGCATTACTGGCCCCCACTCCATTATCACTATCATCATCAACGATTTCCTACACGCGTGTGCGCGGCGGTCGCCATGAGTGAATAGTTTGCAGAGACTTCTCGCATTGATACCCATGGGTCACTTCAGAGTGAACTCATTTGTGATCTTCTTTCATTGGAAGTTGAATCGGTTGATGGCAGTGCCTCGTTTAAACTCCACTTTGGTATTGCTAGTAGTGTCAATGCCAGCGTTTCTTTTTAATTGTGCAAGCGTTGATAGCAGTGTCTCGTTTGTGGTTAGTTATAACAGCGTTGACAGCAGTGTCTCGTTTGCGGACACCTCATTGTACATCAACTCGCTGATACCGGGTTTCCTATCAACACCATCATCATCATCCTTAACCATGTTTGCTCGAGTTTCACCTGGCCGTCCAGCCGCGGCGGTGCTCCTCAGCCTGCCTTGTCACAATGCCAGCACGCGGCAAGGCATCGCCCCCGCCACCCCCGGCCCCGTGCGATGGCCCGTGGGAGATTCTGCCGGATCCGC